GAGCAGAAATATGCCAGAGAGCTGTTATAATCTGCATGTCAGTTCTAACAGAGCCAGGAAAACAAAAGCAGTTGACAAAACAGAGATTATGGCAACTCCTTCATTGCAGTTAAAGTACAACAAAGTAACATTTAGATGGGTGTTCTTTGTTCTCAGTAATGCCTAAAATGTAAACATTGGTTTTCTAAAACAGTGTTTAAAAGGAAAACTATGAGGTGAGTGATTTTCACTCATCCTCATAGTTCTAGCCGAACGAAGAAACGGTCACAGGTCGGCTCAGTAGATGGGGAGGCGAGCGAACATATACCGGCGCTCGATCACTTCTCGATCTATCCCTGCAAAGAGCCGTGACGGGAGGGACTGGATTCCCCCCCTGTCCGATCCTCCAGCGCTGACTGGCGGAACGGACGGGGGAGGGGGCGGTTACAGCTGGCTCGGCCTCTAGATAGGCAGAGCCAGCTGTCAGTCACGCAGCTGGGCGGATCCAGACAGAATTGTCGGATCCGTTTCAGCTGCGGCGTCTCAGTATATCGCGAGCTGTAGCTCGCGGTATACTGAGCTTTGGGTGACGGGAGGACGTTAGTTTGTGTTCTCCCGTTAACCTTAGAACTATGGGGAAAAGCCCTAACGGCATAGTTCTCCTTTAAAGTTGATTTTTATTTTTACGTCATTTCTAGCTGGCCAATCAAAATTGCAGAAGATGACCCGGAGACGATGTCAGAGCCAATGCTGGAACTTGCAGATGATGCATTGAGGGAGTGGAGGTGAATATCATAGATTTTTAGTTCTGCTTGAAGGACAAAGATACCACTTTTTTAAATTGGTGTGATCAAAAAATGTTGCTGTTTCTCCAGCTACCTGGAACTACTACTTTTTCTCGACAACATGAGCTGGTGAACCTTAAATAAGTCTATTTACAGGTTTATGTAATAGGGAAGAGAGTAGTAACCTAGAGTAACGAATCAGAACTCACCTCTTAGTTCTCTGACCTATTAGTTTGTTTTAATGTGGCTCGAGTCAAAAACTGAAAGTGGAATGGAACCGTGGGGCATTTGCCAAAATGTGCACATAGGTTATCTCTAGACTCCTCTCCTTCAGTAATGTGAGGTTCAAGTTCCCCACATCACTCCCTACATCTTGACTTGTGCCATGCTCTTTCCCTCTTCTTCGAGTTCCATAGTTCTGTGCTTCAACTTTAAAACAAACTAAAGAAAACCTGAAGGCTACCATTGCCGACCTACTACTTCTTGCCTGGATGTCCAACTTCCATACAGTGAGTCTTTGACCTGGAACAAGCAGGAAGCCAATAAAGTCAAAGCACCCAATCAGCACGTGTGTTTAAGGCTGAATCTTATGAAGTGGGCGAATTAAATAAGCACAAAATTCAGGCCACGAATGCAGTATTTCCAGAAAGAGATCAGGAACGGTAGCCTACATGTTTCTCAGTGTGGGTTTCCTTTATTATACTATTGTTCAAGTTGTCCATAGCAACCCATTGGATTTCTTCTCTGAATGTTGAAGCTGCAACAGGTTGACAATATTTTCGGCAGGTAACTATAGACAGGTTGATAAGTGTTGCACATTTACAGCCCGGTATCTCCCACCCTAATCCTATATCCAAGGTCTGGAGATTCCGCTTACCAAGCATATCCAGCACATCTTTCCTAAGTCTGCTTTGTGGTATTTTCTGTACAGGTTCCATGCAGTTTGCAAGATGATTACTACAAGTGTGAAAAATCATAAAGTGTACAGAGTGAAGGATTACTGCGGGATTAGGAGGTAAGAAGGGATTACAGGAGCGAAGCTCGCACATGTGGCTATCATACTAACTTCCCGAGTTAGATATGGTGACTCATACTTACTGCAAACCTGTTGGCAGAGCTCACAATCCCACCTAGTGGTTTTGCCAACAAAAATGTTGTCACAGATTGAGAAAATAATGAGAATAGTACTTTATTAAAACAAGTCTTTAGACAGAACCTAATATCGCCTACAGTGGATATAGCAGTGTGAGGGAGCATTGAAACTGATGACTTAGAAAAGTTATTGTTTGTCAACTTTTCAAAATAATGGACATCTCGAAGGTGTTGTGACCTGTGATGGCACAAGACTGCCAGGGAGGAGATTGCCGACTGGCATATTTATTCAGAAGCATGAACTGATGCTCTTAAGCACGACTTAATGTGAAGGATTTTAATGTTTATTTCTGAATAAATGTTATGAAAGTTTGTCTCTTGGGATTCTGTGTCATTTACAAAGCATTGGACGAGTAGGGGACAGAGTCACTTACAAGGGATTAACCAAGAAACTCTATAAACTACATGCAGTTTGACCATTATTCATTTGGTGGTAAAGCCCATTTGGTGAGGTGACCCGTTCTAGGGAGAACACTTGGAAATGGTGATTTTATCACATGAAATATGACGGAGTACATTGGACTTTTGTAAACACTTGGACGCATTTTTCTGCACCTTGGATTCTTTTGCACTTTTTGGCTTTGAATTTTGATATATCTATGTGGTTTAAATTTAATTTGTACTTGTTGTCTTTGTCTTCATTATCGCAATTGATTTTTATAGTATTGGTCATTTAGGTACGCATTTGCATTGTTTTTGGTGAAGTGCATTTTTTGGTTTGAGTCACATGCTAGCTTCTCTCCAGGAATCTAGTAGTTTCAAAGAATACCCCGATTTCCTGCAACTGCCATAGCCACTTTGGCCATTTTCAATAATGGTTTCTCACATTCCACTGTGGATTTGATACACGACTGGTCATACACTGTTAGAATTTCGGCTGATTCACAGGAACTGGCAAAAGTTGATTACTCAATCAACTTGTCTAAGGAGACAGGCCAAAACGTTTCAACAGTGACTGTAGTTAATCAGCTGCAGTTACTGTTCATGGATTCGGACAGTGGCATGAGCCAGCTGTCAGAATAGAATAGCCACAGCAGAAAATTCTTCAATTTACGTTGTTTAATGTGGATAGATGAATCTCTTAGATTTTTAGTGTATGTCCAGGTTAATGCAGAACAAAGAGGTAGCTGAGCTGAAATAATACTTTCTGGGAGGGGATGGAGGCTGAAATGACTATGGTATAATCTCGGGGGAGAAATATCTGTTCAATTTATCAGGTTCCCACTCTAAAGTGAGATTATGTACGAGTGAAGCCGACCTTTCATTTCTGCCGTATAGAGACTGTAGAAGAGGAGGGGAACAAAATCTAGAAATGAAGGGCTAGAATGGTGCTCATTTTTTTGATGCTGTCTGGAGACCTGTTGGAGACATTACCCAAATTTAACCCCCAAACCACCCTCTTCCTAAACAGAGCATCTCCCGCCGTAATATTTTACCTTGTTTCTGTAGCAAAAACAGCTTTTATTACCCCGTGAGGTCATCATCAGGCTTGTAAAATTCTTGCAGGGGTAGCTGCTGGGAGGTCACTTTGATTTGATGCAGTCCCATTAAAACTACATACCTCAAGAGCCCTTTTCCTACTCGCTATGGGTAGGCTCTTGGAAACTGAGGCAGCAGCATTGTTTTGCTGTATTACCCACGAGCAATGTTTCTGCCCAACTCAATCAAACCTAACCCAATTTTAGCAGAAAATCGCTGGCAGTAACAAAATTGCCAGAAAAAAACAAAACAAAAAAAACTATTTTCTGGGAAAGAGCGAGCTTCATTCTGGCCAAATCATTTTTATTCGCAGACCTTTTTTAAGAAGGGAAACATTCCGGTCCTTAAGAAATACCCAGATCACAAACATAATACGCACTCCATACAGCGTACAGACCTTGTTGAAAGATTGGTGCTTGAAGTGACAACATGGATGGCGCCGTGTCAGATACAGTCCATAATAGAAGTCACCAGCACTCGATATGTGCAAGTAGTAAAGCACTTTTTATTCAATTGTCACATGCATCATACAGTCAACGTTTCGGGGGCCACTCAGGGTCCCTTCTTCTGGGCAACATAGTGACCAAATATGTCACCCAGAAGAAGGTGCTTTACTTTCTGCACATATCGAGTGCTGGTGACTTATTATGGACCACATCACAATTTAATAACTCTACCTTTAACAAAAAAAAAAAAACTATGCTAACCCACCCTCCCTAGCCATTCCTTATCTTCCCTAGAGGGTGGGTTAAATGTAGTAGAGCTGTCCTTCAAACACTTAAACATGGAAATAGACACAAAAAGAAACATATAAAAGCAATTTTTCTAGTCTGTGTGCGACCGCAGCACCTTTTTTTTTGGGTAGCAGGCAAACAGTTTGGTATAGGTATGCGACGATCACACAGAGACCAATTTTCACTTAAAACAGACAAAGTATTAAGCTTTCCAATTTTTGGTTTACTATATTTAAATCCAACAACAAAACATTCTTCATTTTATTTCTAATATGTCAAGCACTTATATTTCGTACTGTTGAAAGCTGCTCGTCTTGGGCTGCATAGCACCCCTTCCCTGAAATACCAGTTTGAGTGGGGCACCTCACAGAAAGGTCACATGACTTCCTTTCTAGGACTACAATTTCCCATTGTGTGCCGCTGCCAATCAATTGCCTTAAACCAGGGGAGTGGCTCGATATTGTAGGCTTCAGGTTATGTCTGTGCATACCCGCACAGAGCTGGAACGTACGGCTTTAGTCCTTGTTGGCAATGAGCAGGCAACGGTTGCTACGGCCATGGGACACTACAGGGTAGCCACCGAAAAATCAGGGAGAGGATTTTCAGATATCGAGCACCAAAAATGACAAGCCATCAAATGGAAAGCAAGGTTGATAAATAACACTAACAAATGCTCAGAGGCTGGACTGACTGGGTTGCAGTGCTACTTTACAGCAAATGGAGGAATTTATGAATGACGCTCCATTATTATAATAACCTCTCAATCTGCATCAAAGCTTCTGCTATGCATTTCCTATGCTTTTGCTCTAACATTTCCTTGCTGTGTGACAGAACTGATACATGTCCCACAATGAATCTTGTAACAGATTACCTTTAGTAGCTGTTTGCCAACCGTTGGGCTCATTTTCTCATCAACCATAAGAATTACAATTCCCCTTTCATCCATGCCACGTCTTCCTGCTCGGCCAGACATCTGAATGTACTCGCCCGATGAGATCTGCGAAAGCACACACATTGGTTGGTGGCCCTTCAAAGTAAGCTTTGAAGAAACATTTTATTTCCATTTCTCCCAACTCACCCATCGGAAATCTTTCCCATCAAACTTCCGTGCACTGGTGAATAACACAGTCCTGGCTGGCATGTTTATACCCATGGCAAAGGTTTCTGTTGCAAACAAAGCCTGTTGAGAAAAATCAGAACTTATTAAAAAGAAACAGGTTTCCACATATTAAGCATTGTCCTTACGATGTTTCCAAACATTATCCCAGTAACAACTACAGAGCAACACAAAATTTGAACACAAAAGTTGTGTTTTCTGCAGTTTAGTTGCCGAGAATTCAGACTACACAGATTTTCTTAAAGGAGAACTATGGGGTCAGTGTTTTTCCCCATAGTTCTCCTTAGGGTAACGGGAGGACACAAACTAGCGTCCTCCCGTTACCCTAAGCTCAGTATACCGCGAGCTACAGCTGGCGGTATACTGAGACGCCGCAGCCGGAGCTGATCCCGACATCGATGTCTAGAGGCAGAGCCAGCTGTACCCGCCCCCTCCCCAGTCAGCGCTGGCAGATCGGAGCGGGGAATCCAGCCCCTCCCCTGTCGCGCAGAGAGCCGTGACAGGATCGAGAGGTGAGCGAACGCCGGTATGTGTTCGCTCACCTCCCGATCTACTGAGCCGACCTGTGACAGTATCATTGTCACAGGTCGGCTAGAACTATGAGGTGAGTGAAAAGCACTCACCTCATAGTTCTCCTTTAATAGGTGGCAGACGGCCTACCTCAAAAAAATCAGGATGAAAGCCCCAAAGCTAACACTTTGAAGAGAAAAAAAAAAAAAAGGGCCGCAATGACTGAATACATTTCTATTCTGCTCATCAACACGCCAATGACATTTTTAAATGAACCTATTTTCATTACATACCTTATTTTAGTCCGAGTGACATCACTGAGGTCTCTGTGCTTCCCTATGCAATTCTTGCATATTATGACTAGCGGGAGGGGCTGGCGGGGTGCTGTACATAGCTTCCTAAAAACATCGCAGCACCCTGCCTTAGGAATCCTCTTAAGAGCCCTTAGCCCTGATGCAAGCAGTAGGCCGATTGAGTTAGGCAAATATCAAAATGCCTTGATGGGTGGATGTCAGTCTGTAAGAGTGGGCCTCCATGAACTGAGATCCAATATAAAAAAAGGGGGGGGGTCCCAGAGACAGTAAAGGTTGAGGAGGAAAAAGCTAGATTATTTTGGATATCCTCCAGCCAGGAAATGAGGCGGGCTCTAGTGGACTTGCTGCAGCTTCTAATGCAAACTATAGGAAGCTCACATTGTACAGTCAATTCAGAGGAAGCAATTCCAGAACAGGAGATAAGCCGGTACAACTGGGCAAGACTGAAGGGAAGGCTGGAGCTCAGGTTTTAGCGGGTCACAGGCAGAGGGCAGCCATATGCCTAAAGAGGTGAGATTAGCAGCACAGCCAGATACTTCCCACTTGTTCTCAAAGACATGATCACCTGATAACTGGATACAGTGGGGAAGAGTTAGAAGATCCAACTGGTTTCTATACCTATTGGAACCACACAGAAATTCAGCAGAATCTTACACAACATAAAATTCTGATATCGTTCATAACTAGAGCTTCAATTAAAGTCTGTGTACATGTAAGAAATATTCCCCCTTTACAGTGACCACCCAGGAAGTCAGGGGAAATCTCACGATGACAATGCTGACAGATATTATACCCTTCTCCTACTTACATACCTTTATCAGACCTTCAGAGAAAAGGATTTCTATTGTCTCTTTCAATATGGGCAGCAATCCTCCGTGATGGATCCCAATACCTCGCTTCAAAAGAGGAAGGACATGTTCCACCTAGAAATGCAACACCAGAAAGGAGATTAAAACTCTCCCGTACTGCTGTATTGAAAAGTCAGAAAGCCGCCAAGCATTCATGAAAACACATCAGGAAATGTTATTTTTGGGAACAATAACATGGATATGATGGTTTTGTTGGCTCATGAAGTTATTTAAAAAAAAAGTTAAAACAGCAATGAATGTGAAGATGTGGAAGCCATCACTGTCAGTGTTACATCAGTGGCAGCACAGGGCACTATTATCAGGCTTAACCCCTTCATGACTGAGCTTGTTTTTGGTTTCTGTTCGTAAATGACTGACACACTTTATTTCCATTAAGGGGAAGGGAATAAACCATAATCCTTACTAGGGATGCACCGATACCGGTTTTTCAGTATTGAGTAAGAGTACTGATATTTATATTTCGGTACATAGCATGGAGCCGGCTTCCCTGTCTGTTTGGCTGGCTCGATGCTGATTGGTCCGGGAAGCCAGGACCCCAGCCAATCAGCATGAAGCCAGCTTCTCGGCCAATCAGGAAGCTGGGAGGCGATTACCCGCTGCCCAGTTCCTGATTGGTGAAGAAGCTGGCTCCATGCTGATTGCCTGGGAAGCTGGCTTCCTGGCCAATCAGCATCGAGCCGGCTGTTTGGCCAATCAGGAAGCCAGGCTGCGAGTCAATACCCGCTGCCCAGCTTTCTGATTGGCCGGGAAGCTAGCTCCAGGTTTCCTCGCAGCACTGCCAGAGGAAATCTCCCTCTGACCGAAAGTTCTGGTATCAGGGGTATCGGAGCATTCGGGCAAGTACAAGTACTCGCCCAAATACTCAGTATCAGTGCAACCCGAATACTTGCCTTATCCTTCCCACTGGCAGACCTGCAGCATTCACCGCTTCTCTCCCGACACTCCAGGAGGTGAGCTGGTCCTCAACATACTCAAACAATGCAATGTATGTGATGTAAGAGTGCAACCGCCGGCCAAAGTGCCTTAGAGAAGAGGCTTTAGGGACTGGTTAAACAGGTTGGAGAAAGGATTCGGTAAGTACTACAGCTTATTCCCTTACCGTTATGACTTGCAGCAATCCTGGGAAGCCAAACTGTGACTTCAGTCAAATCAGTTGGAGGATTGCTGATCAATTTCCACTGGTTTATGACCTTTACACGACTGTTTAATTATTGGTTGGTGCACAGATCTAGTTGCCGTTTAACTGGTGTGCTCAAATGGTCAGAAATCCATTACGTTGCTCCTTTCTTTTTTTCCCTTACCAAAAGCTGACTAAATAAGACAAGGCTAGAGCATGCTCAAGGCCAGCCAGTGTTTACACAGTTCTGGGAGTCCTTATGTGACATGCATGTGCGCTACAGCACAATGGCTGCTCCAAGCAAATGAGTCAAGCTTAAGCAAGAGACAAAATGTAAACCCTATTGCCAGGACTGACCTAATGCATGTCAAATAAGAGCACTGGTGGAGAGTTGCGAGCTGTAAACACTGGCCGGACCTGGGCAGGCTGTAGCAGTGAGAAGAGGAGGATGTCTGTATCTCATGTGTGATATTCTATCAGTTATTTAGGTAGGGCAAGGTAAGAGTTTAGATTCAAAAGTGAGCTTAATCTTTAAAGACCGAGGTCCCTCCCCCAATGTCCTCTTTGTTGGAAAGGTGAATTCAGATATTAGGTGAACTTACCAAGCTTCGTATCTAAAACCTAACTATACAGTTCTACCCACAGTACACCTGGCTTATAAGAGCTGGAGTTAAAAGAAACCACACAGGAAAAAACTATACAAAACTATTTTCCAAATGAGTGGAATCTGATAGAACTACATCTGAGGATGATCTCAGGACAGACCTGTGGAAGCTTCTTGTCTTCATCCGAGAGACAGTCTATGGCATTATTAAACACTTCCTCCACCATCTTCTTCTCCTCATCTATAGCAAGAGAAAGAAATTGTTACAATGACAAAAATATGTAATTTAGAGAAAACAAACAAAGGACAGGGGGAAAAGGAAGAGAGAGGAGGAGGCAAGGAAGGAGAGGAGATGGAAAAGGAAGGGAGAAGGAAAGAATGGATGGAAGGAAGAAAAGGAGGTAAGGGGAAAAGAAGGAGGTAAGGGGAAAAGAAGGAGGTAAGGGGAAAAGAAGGAGGTAAGGGGAAAAGAAGGAGGTAAGGGGAAAAGAAGGAGGTAAGGGGAAAAGAAGGAGGTAAGGGGAAAAGAAGGAGGTAAGGGGAAAAGAAGGAGGAAAGGGGAAAAGAAGGAGGTAAGGGGAAAAGAAGGAGGTAAGGGGAAAAGAAGGAGGTAAGGGGAAAAGAAGGAGGTAAGGGGAATGAAAGGAGAAGGAAGGAAAGGAAAAAAAAGAGGAAGGAAAGGAATTATTAAGACATCCTATTCTATCAATGACACATTACGCAATGAATGAGCAGACTACCCATCAATATACTATAGACACCTGTGTTATTCTCAGATAATCAATATACTAGTATTTAGTATAAGATGTGAGTCTGGGACATACTAAAGGCATAATAGTCCCCAGAATGAGACGCTGACACTGTGCTTGAGTTAGCAGTTATAAAGGTTACAGTGATAGGTTTACCAACATCTACAGCATGTGAACCTTGCAGTTCTAGGACTCTGGGTTGGTTTGGTAATGGTGCTGCAATGGACCTCATTATAAAGATATTAGAAATACAAATTAGTTCACAAGTCCAGTAAATACCAGAGTTGAAATCCAGCTTGGACATTTGCAGCGCGTAGGCCTCACAATCCTTCTTACTAAAGCTGAAGATAATAACCGGCTGGAAGTTGCGCTCCATGATCATTTTGACAATCTTGAATACATTAGAGGGTCCTGGAAGGAGAATGACATTAATTAGTGATGAGAGATCGCATTTTATTATTACCCCAGGAGCAATACAGGAGGTTGGGAACACATGGACTGGATTAAACTTCTTCTGTGAAGGTAAAAACGGGACAGCATCCAAACAGAAAACAAATGTAGCCGAGCCAAAAAAAATAAAAAAAAAACACTTCTAAACAACATGAAATATCATGCACGCAATACTAATAAAGCTGAAGTATAATCTGCTTATATTTTCCCTTCCCTGGTTTATGGCACTTTTTAATTGAAGGCTGTGTGCGCACAGGGTGTTACAGGAATGCAATGTCCCGCTATTAGGGCCAATTTACACTAGCCGGTGTGTTAAATGCACAGCGGCTGGTGTGCGATGCTGGACTCAGTGCCTATGCGCTGATTCCAGCACATCACACTTTGTACTTGTAGAACTTTATTGAAATATCATTTCATTCAGTTCTATGGGCACAGCAGGGTGCGAGGTAGTTGTTCCGCATCACAGCATGTTCAACTTTTTTTCAGCGCAGTGTGATGTACTTTATTTCAACACACTCCACCATATGCCCATTGCAGTGTAATGGTGTGCACTGATCCTGCACGTGATAAGGCAAATTCCCTTGTCTTGCATTGGGGCTGCACTGGAAACAACGGCGAGCGCAGCCCCAATGCATGTGGTGTGAACTGGCCCTTAAAGAGACTTTTATAATAGTGCAGAGGAGGAGTGACACATCTTCCTGCTGCCTGCATATTCCTGAACCAGTGACATTCATTATTCTCATTTCCTGTCCTGGTGTCCCAGGGACAGGCCGCAAACAGAAATATTCAAGAGGGTCACAAACAATGACAAAAAAATGAATAGTTCTCACCGATTGCCAGTCTATCCAAAACTAAAAGATAATGTTTTGGCTGGAGTTGGAAAATGGAAGTTGGAACCCAAGTGACTGAACCTGATTGGTGGAGGTCAGGCAACAATAGGACATTCCTATGCCGGAAGCTGTACGACTTCAAAAAAGACAAGCACGGGGCTGCCAACCCACCCAAGTTCACAATCTGTACCATACAGGATCATAGACTGGCACAGAGGAATCTGATGGGTTTTCAAAGACTTCAGTTACCTTTTGTACCTCCTTTGCGCCCTTTCTGATCTCCCTTAGATGCCTCCCCGACATCCCTCAGCACCTGCATTGCTGTGTTGAAGTTATCTTCCCGAAAGTCACTCTTAAAAAAAAAAAAAAAAATGTAAAAAAATATTAAAAAGTTATTACAAATTCATTCAGTTTTACAAAATATTGTATTGATTTCCAACTTACATTTTCATCCACAACGAGGTGAAGGCCATCGCCCCCTGCTGGAAATATATAATGCTGTAAGGGGGTCGGACGATAGTCTGTGTAGATGACGTGACAAGGCTGGAAATAAAAATGCACATAATTATTGATCTTGTGAAATATTGTATCCACACACAAAACCAAGATAAAAATAAAAATAGAATAAAATACTAGGTACGGCACTCCTGATAGCCCTGATCACCATATTTTCGTACATGAATACATGTAGACTTTTATGTGCATTGTTGCACATAAAAAAATAAATAAGACCTACCCCAAAAATAAGACCTAGTGTGTTTTTTTGAGCCAAAAAAAATATAAGACACTGTCTTATTTTCGGGGAAACACGGTATCTAAGCATAGAATGCTTACGCAACACCTATTAAAGAAACCCATAAGGGCATAAACAAATAAAAAGCAATGTGTTCCAAAGCAAGCAACTTATTGCTTACTGTTTTAGTTTTCCGATTATGTTCTCTTTAAATAAAGCAAAAAAAACAAATAAAACCACTAAAAGGCTAATTTTTTTTATTTGTCTTGAAGTCCACGCTGCGTGCTTCGTAAACAACTTCCCCTGTGAACAAAAAATGTGAATCGTTAAATCACAACACAAAAAAAAAAAGTGCACGAGGGTGCTTTGGTCCTCTTCTAAAGAGGAAGGGCCTCAATAATCCTGAACCCCCCGGGGCGCAGGGCTACTGAAGACTCTGGTCCACCTATCCGAAGGCCGGCAGACCCCTTTCCTCAGGGTCCTGCTGAAACAGGACCCTCAAGTACTAAGTTAGGGGCTCCCCCAAAGGGAGACCCCCCCAGGTGGAACAAGGCAGAGAGCCCTATATGAGGGTCACAGATCCTCCTCCCTAACATCAGGATTGGGCCCAAAAGGAACCCGCCCCCTCCTTCATCTGGGAGTCAAAAAGTGCTATCGTGCATAAATAATTGCTATAAAAAAATAAGTGCCAGTGCGAGACATGGCAGGCCTTGCGGCCAGGTAAAAAATTGCCCCGGGCTAGCCAGAAGGCCTGCCAAAGAGGCGTAGTGCAGAAAATGCATTTGGTGCTGTGACCTAGTGCACAGTGAATCACTTGTGGGGTCCCACACCCTAGTGATTTTCTGACACCACCAGGGGGCACAGCACCTCGGGCCTTTGCGCCTGCCGAAACCCCCCCGCCAGACCAAGCAAGCACCTGCCCACATCAGGATGCCATAGTGCCGAGGAAGCTACCCCCTCTCAAAAGGTGCCGCCTCAAACCCCAGTATTCACTCCAGCGAGTACTAAGTAAGCATCCCCCAACAGGACGGTTCTTTTCCCCACCGGAAACTGATAACAGATACTACACCTGATCTTAGCCAAAACGCAGAGAAACGGCTAATGTCACATTTGCAACAGTTGTAACAATGCAGTCACTGGTAAGGACACGCCAGGGGCAGGATCGCTCTGGAGGACACATGCGGCCAGTGTTACTGCCTTGCTGCGGGAGGTGTTACTCACTTGCAGGCAACTTACTTTGAAGCATTTTTGTGTTTGAAATGAGAGAAGTCTCAGAGCCTTGCTGCAGAATCCAGCTAGGGAAGCAACACATAGGGGGATATTTATAGAGCAAACAATCTCACATTTAATAAACATTCACTGTAGGTGAATCTTCCAGGGGCATGCGTTTTAAATGAGTGATTGATGACCAGAGAAAGTCACTTTATAAATATGCCCCACAGAAAGCAGGCGAGTGTTGTCCGTATTTTCCAGCAATCCTTTTGCTGCCAGTGCTCACTTTGGAAAGGATCCACTAATCATACAGCTATGGCATAATCAGGCTAAAATATGGCACGTTTCACCCACACTGGGGAGAAAAACTAAACTGGAGCACATTTCACATGGCTACTTTTTTTATTATTAATGTACAAACTTATTTTTTTATATTTTTCCCATTAAGGGCTCAAAGGGAACATTGAAGATGAAGTAAACGACAGAAACCTGCTCCGATTAAGAATTACAAGTAAAGAAAAAACTGTAAATAATATTCCAGCGCCATCTACTGGTTGAGAAATGCAGCACTAATGTCCATTAGCAGCTCCTCTGACCCATCTATTGGTTACATGCTCATTAGCGCCATCTATTGGTTTAACATACCACGAGACCACCACCCCTACAGCTCCACCTAATGGATTACTGTTACTACAGCATGAGTATGCCAAGCATTCCCACAGCGCCACCTATTGGTATACTGTTAATACAACACTAGATAAAGCGCACCCACAGCGCCACCTCTTGGTTTAAAGTTACAACACTCAAATACTTAAGCACCACACAGCGCCACCTGTTGGTTTAGAATCACAACATTCTAAAACACAAGAATTACAGAAATCACTCTTCAGCACCATTGAACTAGAGCTGCAGCTAACGATTATTTTCAAAATCGATTAGTTAGCCGATTATTAAGTTCGATTAATCGATTAATCGGATAAAAAATTAAAATACATTTTAAAAAATGGCATTATAGCTCTTCGCCGCCATCTATTGGTGTGATTATTACTTTCCATCTCTCTTTAGTACCATTGGTGTGATCATTAAGGCCGTGACACACTGCACGCGAAGCCGTGCAGAGCGAAGCAAAGCTCTCCGGCACGGAGCTTCGCGTGCAGTGTGTGAGCTGAGTGCAGTTAGATGATTCACTGCACCTTCAGCCAATCGGCTCGTCTGTAACAACCGGCCAGACGTCGCATTCCCGTCGCGCCGGTTTATGCGCACGAGCACATTGGCTGAAGTTGAAATTGTTCATCTCGGCACGCTCAGCTCTGCGAGCTCTCGCCAGCTGAGGTGCCTAGAAGAAAGTGACATGACACACTGCTCGCAAAAGGCAGCGCGCCACCGCTCCGCTTCGCGTGCAGTGTGTCACGGCCTTTACTTTCTATATCTCTTCACCGCCATCTATTGGTGCGATCATTACTTTCTATAGCTCGTCAGCGTCACCTATTGGTGTGATTATTTTCTAGAACTTCATTTTCTTTCATTCTAAGGCCTTGGATTGTGCACAAGGGTGCTTGGTACTTCAATCAAGAAGGGACCTCGATTCCCAACCCCCCGGGGCGCAAGGCTCCTGACAGGGGTTGAGTCTGTTGGTCCACCAATCCGAAGGCCGGTGGACCCCGATCCTTTGGGGACCTGCAGGAACAGGTCCCTCACAGTACTAGGTGGGGGGCTCTCCCTAAAAGTGACCGCCTGGGTGGGAGGAGAGAGAAAACCCTTTGAGGGAACAGAATCTCCTCCCCCCATCGGAAAAAGGCCCCGAAGGAACCTACACCCTCCGCATCTGTGGGTCAAAATTTTAAATAAAAAAAGCATGCCAATCGTGCATATAGTGCTTACATAAATATAAAGTGCCAGTTCACCACGCTGACAGGCCCACGTGCACAGTGAATGACATGTGGGATTTTCTGATGCACCCCCTGGGACGCCACCCCCCGGGGCGCAAGGCTCCTGACAGGGGTTGAGACTGTTGGCCCACCAACCCGAAGGCCGGTGGACCATTTCCTTCGGGGACCTGCCGAAACAGGTCCCTCACAGTACTAGGCAGGGGGGATCTCCCGAAGATAAACCCCCCTCCTGGGTGGGAGGAGACAGAGAACCCCGTAAGAGGCACAGAATCTCCTCCCAGCGTCAGGAATAGGCCCCGAAGAAACCTGCACCTTCAGCAATCTGTGGGTCAAAGCTTAAAAAAAAGCCAATCGTGCATAGAGTGCATAAAAATTGCCCCGGACTAGCCATAAGGCCTGTCCAAGAGGCGTTGTGCAGAAAATAGCAAGGTGGTGTGTGACCGAGTGATCAGTGAGTCAATGTGGGGTCCCACACCCAAGTGACTCCATGCGCACCCCTGGGACGCCACCCCCAGGGGCACAACACCACGGGCTTAACTCCAGCCAGACCAAGCTTCGCATCCATTCTCTCAGGAGGCATTAGCACCTTCAGAGCATCTAGCCTACAACTGGGGACAAGCCCGGCATAACCGGACCAGAATCGACCCAGGAGGAAAGGAGGCCCCTCCAGTACCCACCAATCACATCAGGGAATACCGAGCATCTCTCCGTGCCGGTGGATCGATGCCTTTCTTCCTTGAAAACTGATAAGAACAGATACTACACTTGATCTTAGCCAAAAGGCCGAGAAGCGATACTAATGGACCCCAAGGACAGACAAATCCTGAGCCTGTACAGACTGAGCGTCCACGGTCTGGAAATTGTATCAGGGCTGCATAGACAGACATACAAGCACAGGGAGAGTAGACTGTCAGCAGTGTGACCAGGGGGAGCCTGGAAGACGAGGTGCACTTCCTCTTGCAGTGCCCCAAGTACTCAACACTGAGGGACATTCACTTCCGGAGACTCTCCGCTCTCATCCCGGACTTCAGTTCTATAGAAGAGACGAGGAGACTAAACATTATACTGGAAGAGGAGCCGACGGTGAAAATATCTGCACGATACGTCACAGAATGTCACCGACAGAGGAACAGGAAATATCCTGGACTTATAAATCCCCAGCATGGATTCACCTCATCCCCTTTACCCTGATAATGTCCCTGGAGTTACCTATTCCCCCCATATCATTCTTCACCCCTAATAATGTTCCACTACCCCCCAATCCCATAAGACCTCGTCATATGCTTTGGCAATGCTAAAATGTATTTGGTCCTGCCAATAAAGCTTATTTGAATTGAATATTGGTGTTATTACTTTCCATATCTCTTCAGCGCCATCTATTGGTGCGATCATTACTTTCCATATTTCTTCAGCGCCATCTATTGGTGCGATCATTACTTTCTATATCTCTTCAGCACCAGCTATTGGTGTGATCATTACTTTCCATATTTCTTCAGCGCCATCTATTGGTGTGATCAATACTATCTCTTCAGCGCCATCTATTGGTGCGATCATTACTTTCTATAGCTCTGCAGCGCCATCTATTGGTGTGATCATTACTTTCTATATCTCTTCAGCGCCACCTATTGGTGTGATCATTACTTTGTATATCTCTTCAGCGCCACCTATTGGTGTGATCATTACTTTCTATAGCTCTTCAGCGCCACCTA